TACAATTCCACTACGATAATTTACAATAAAATTTTCATTGTGAAAACTCTATTGAGTACAAAGATAAGTTAAAACAGATTTCTAGAATGTCATTGAATTGGAACTGCATTACGCCTACATGATATACAATTTTTAACTCCATAGATAAATAAGTAATATGGCATTTATTTTTTTTAATCTGGCATAAAACTTTTAAATTCGAAATATCGACATAGTCTTTAGGATTCCAATATGCCAATAAGTAAAAATCTATGTTAATTAAATAAGAAAGTACTATCTTGTTCGATTTTTAAATTATTAAGTCGTAGAAAATGTAGTAGATGTGTGTGCTGTTTTATAAAATTCAATCAGAGTTGATGAATTTAATACAATGCTTTCCTTAACGAGTAATATACTAGTTTATGAGCTAACAAGAGCAATAAGGAAGTCAGTAGCAATATGTGAGTAATTAAAAGAGATATGCGAGTAATTAGAAGATATACAATTGTAGCTAGAAAAAATCGGATTGACTATTCTGCTGATAAACGGTAAGCTCATCAAATTAAAAAAAAAATTAAACACCATATCACGTGACATCCCTCTCTCTATTGCTGTCATCGTCAAAGTTATACCCCGCAACCACTTTGGAGAATTATCTAGAATGACAGTACGTTTGTAACCTATGTTCAAAAATGACAAGCATTTTTCAACAGATACTTCAGTTACTCTTTTTATGATTTACCCCGTATAAATAATGTATCGTAAACATAAGAACAATATATTTCATTATTGAATCTGTAAATTGCATTTCCGAATTTAAAAATCTCAAACAAATCAAAGCCAACCCCGGCAGACCAAGAATGCAGTTCAACAGATTTTAAGTTCCAAGAAAAATATTATTTGCACACCTGCAGCATATTTACTGTTATTTACGCGCGCAGAATATAGTTTTCTCGCTCAAGGAAAATTTTGAGTAATTTAAATACAAATGCTAACTCTCTCCCACTCGTAAATCTGTTTCATTCGCTGTAGTATAGGTATGTTTAAAATAAATCGTTAAACAGATATTCAGAAGAAAGTATCATGAAGATCTTAACTAATTAATAAGCAAAGCTAAATAGAATTTGCCTGTAAACGTCCCAGTTTTCATTCTACAGGGTTATAAAGTGAATTTCATAAATACATAATTTTCTAAATATCTTCACTTACGATAAAGATTTTAACTTAAAAATATGTATATGTTAGTTAATCGTCATTATTAGTTAATACACTTTATTTCGATAAATTACGATGGCTCATTGAGATGAATCAAGGGTTATTTATGAAAACAATTTTTATCCAAACTTTTTGAACACCCTATATTTTCTACGCAATTTGTCACAAAAAAAAAACACTCTTGGTTGATCTCTGTAGCACATTTCATTTCCGAGATTTTTCAGTTTTAGTTCTACTCAAACATGAAATCTATGTACAATTTTATCAAGGGCCGATTTCATAATGAATATTAAAAAGTCCATTATCTAATGGGATCAAGATTTTATGAACGTAATGGTCCCATTAGTTAATGGACTTTTTAATATTGATTATGAAATCGGCCCTTAATAAACATTTGCATTTTTTTTTTTTTAATTTCATAATGTAAATAGATTTCATGTTTAAGTGGGATTAAAACTGAAAAATCTCGAAAATGGAATGTGCTACAGAGATCAATCAAGAGTAGTGATGTGAGTTGGGTAAATACCCCGTGGGTAGGTAAATAAATTGTGGGTATTTACCCGGTATTTTTCAAGAGATATTTACCAACCCAAAAACATAACCTAAAATAATTTTAATGTTTGTTGGTTATGTTATAACACATGGCAGTCACGACAAGAATTTTATAAAGCACAAAGCAGGTAATATTATACAGTATGTCCCCCTAAGTTGGAATCATATGGAAAACTTTTTTATTATTAAGTTTAGGAAAAAAAAAGTTATTCTTCATAAAAAGTTCTGCATGACCCAAAACTTAAAATCAGTCATCAGATATCAAATTTTTCAAGCCGTATGCGAGGTTTGTCAAAAAATATGAATTTTTCTCAAGTTTATTACGTTTATTTTTGACAAAATCGAACATTTTCATTAAGAAAAGTTTATTAGAATTGAAAATTACATTCCAATACGCAATTACACCGATCTATCTAAAAAAAAAAAAGATTTTTTCTAGATTTTGCATTGATCCATCTAATTACGATAATCCATAATTTTTTTTCTCTCTCTTCTGTACTATAAACATGATACGATGATGTTTTCTTGATGTTTGTGAAGAATTTAGCAATTTTCTTAATGAAAATTTTAGATCTTGTCAAAAATAAACGTACTTTACTCTTGAGCAAAATTCATATTTTTTGACAAATCTCGTATACGGCTTGAAAAATTTGATATCTGATGACTGTATTTTAAGTTTTGGGTCCTGTAAGACTTTTTATCAAGAATAACCTTTTTTCCTAAAATTAATAATAAAAAAGTTTTACATATGATTCCAACTTAGGGGGACATACTGTATATCAATACTTATAGTCAATCTACAAAGCAGATGATATTATTCGTTAATACTCATAGTCAATCTTCACTTTCATTATGGGTAGAAGGAGAAAAGTTGTCCGGCAATAAAAAGAAAAAGCAGTGGTGTGCAAATTTTGCAATAAACGGTTTGAGTTTCCAAATGTGAATAAAATAGAAAAACACACATTGAAGTGTTTACACAATTCAAATATTATGAAATAAATGTTTTAATTTCAATAAATATTTTTCACAACAATTGCTTAAATTTAATAGATATCGAGAAATTTACCCATTTTTGGTAAATATTTTTGGGTATTTTCCCCATAATTTTTCTGCAAAAATAAATACTTGGGTATTTTACATCACTAATCAAGAGTCCCTTTTTTGTAACAATTTCTGCGAGGAATAATTATTGTCAACTTTTATGAAATATAGGGTGTTAAAAAAATTTGGATTAAAATTGTTTTCTTAGCCATTGATTCTACGCCAATGGGTTATCGTAATTTATCGAAATAGAGTGTGTTAACTAATAATGACGATTAACTAACATATACTAATACATATTTTTAAGTTAGTCTTTACCCTAAGGAAAGTTCAGATTTACAAATCCTCCAGTTTACGGTATTTTATTCTGAAACACCCTGTATATATGTTTATTTAATAGTTACAACATTCACTCTCTCTCTATTCGCACTAATCTGGTAAACTCTCTCGCCATCGTCTCAATAACCAATCACGACACAGAGTCCAAACATATGATCCGTTTTTAATTTTATACACGTCATTTTGTTCTTCTAAATATAATTTATATACAATGATAAATTATTTATAATGGAAAGAATACATTTAAAGATCCCATAGTGCCTTAATCGGGGTTAGGTACTCAGGCTTTTACTGAATTCATGGTTTCTTCATCATGAACGTTCCAGGCCACACTTCACTGCCTGTCCAGTGGTTTTTCACAAAGCATTGAGATTTCTGTATTAAAACATCCACCCTAATCACCAGATCTCGCTTTAAGTGATTTTTATTCCTCAAGATGCAGCACAGAAAGAAAAACCGACGGAATCCACGAACATGCTTTCAAAGAATTATTAACAGCACTGCTGTAACCAATAGAAAATTCGAATAGAGCGGTGTAGGAATTATGGAGGGAAAAGTATATTGGAGGTATGTTAAAATTGTGAAATAACGACTAAAATTATTTTGAATATCACTGACAGCAATGAAATAAGTTAATTAAATGTCATTCTTTTGATTTTATAGCACTAATCCTTTTTTTTTGTAGTCACATTATGTATGCTTCAACATACTCGTATATCTCATAAAATCCCACTCTTAAACGTCGACCAGCGACGAGGCATGTCAGAAATATGACATTAGAACTACGAACTCATGCAATGACGAGAGTAAAAGAGGTGTGGTTATTTACCAATTAATATAAAAATCGGACAGTATAGTATTTTATTATTTAGTTATTTTCAGTCACTCTGGCTAGGCAATATTTTTAACATAGATAACATTGTATATTATAATGCGAATATTTAATTCTTAAATATCATTTAGATAATTTTAAGACAAAATATATTTAATAAAATACGTGATATGTAAGTTTCAGTACAAGGCATATTATCTTTATAAATATGAGTTCTGATATTGTTACATTAAAACTTGGGTTAACTATGAAATTTGAAAAGAGTAACAATTAGACATATATCGAAAAGATCTCTATAAAATAAAGTATCGAGGTCTTAGATTAATATTTACATTATATTTAATATTTAGTTACTTAACTGGGGGAAGAACGTTTTCCGAAGTTTGAACATATCAATGTAAGACTTTTTTGTTAGTTATTACATAAATAAATTATTCACTGAACACATTTTTTTTATATTTTCTGACTTGTACTATAAAAAAATATATCTCTTTCCATTCTAAATAGGCCAAGTAAACGAAATTAGATTCTGATAATATCTAATATTTTATTTTGATTCCTGCGTTTAATAAAGTAACATAAATCGGCGGTCCCCTTTTTTTTTCAACATTTATAAACTTATAAATCCATAATATTTTTTTGCAATTGCACAATGTTAAAACTTAGATGCCCAACACAAAACGCTTCTGTATACAGTAAATATTACTTTTTAATTTTTTTCAGTTCAACATAAACTAACAAAATTACAACATTAAACGTACTAACATGAAATAGGATGATGAAGAAATAGGAAGCATAATATTTTCTGTTATAACGAAATTCAGTTGATATTCACAGGAATTTATTTACATTACATGCAATAAATAGTACACTCTGTTTTTTGAATATTCATAACAATAATTTGGACAGAGTAAAACAAATAATTTTACTCAATAACACTGACATATCTATTAGCAATTTAATTGCTAATGATTGACATGCTAAAAAATGGCATGTATAGCCTAAACTGTAATTTCTTAAATTTAACGGCCGTTCATCTTGCATCACAATCACTGCCTGAGATCAAACTATACTAAAAGGAAAATAAAGCAGCGATAAAATATTAATTCCGTTATTTTTAGAATCTGAATATAAAGAACGCCAAGCAAACAAGATGAACGACCACTAACGATAATTACTAAAAATCTGACATCTTGTTTAACATTAGATATAAGGCACGAGAAATTTAATTTCATCACTTGACTCGAAAATCTAAACAAACTCGCGTGATCCTATTCTACATCAACCTGTACAGATATTGTTTTACCCTTATCTGTTACATTTAACAAAAATATATTTCTATTTACCGAGAAAGGTGATAACTTAAATTCATCAATGAAATAGCAGTGATTGTTGGCCCATCTGATTCACAGTCGGATTCATTTGATTCATAGTAGGCATTGTGGTCAATATCGGTGGTGTCGTCATGGGACGCATGCTCTGTAGAATGAAATTAAATTATAGAGGTGATCCACAAAAAATGTTTCTAAAGCAGGTCTGGAAACATTCACGCACGTCGAGCGTACAAGTTTTCTTCTTTGTTGGTCATGGTCTACTTTAGAAACATTTTTCTGTGGACCATTCTTTATTATAAATAATTAAATGTTAAAAACGTGTCATATAAGTATGCTCTAAAAATTCAATAAATAATGAACTGTGATGTCGTTATTGAAATAGAGCAACGTAACCGTAAATACGGCTGTGTCTATGCTAATATAATAGACTCTGTTTCACGAGAGGAGAACCCAGCTGAAGTTGCAACAATGACAGTTGCAGAAACCTACGTCGCTTAGTAACGACAGGGTCACGCCACTGGCGTAGAACGAACATTTTTATGCCAATAGCCATTTATTTGTTTGCGACGTTAGGGTTTGACATTTAATACTATTGTTATTTATAGGCGATTTTAAATCAGTTACTAGAAATGTGACCAAGTCAAGTGTGGTCAAGGTTCTTACGTCATTATAATGACGTTCTAATAATCTGATTTAAAAATGTTTGGTTTATACTGACACTAACTTCACAATGGGTATAACATTGGCAGATATCATGAATTTTTGTTTGTGTGTTATGTAATAGTAGTAGGATTTGTTTTTGAATTTGTAGGGATAAAAAATAAATATTTGTTTTGTTTACTGATCATGGATGAAGAGAAAATTGGTATTATAGTTACTTTGGCCTCTGATTTTTTATCAAAACTTTAGCCATGTTCATTAATAAATCCTACCTTGAAAACAAATTGGCTTTTCATTTGCAGAAACCTTAAATGCGTCCATATCTAGGTACTCAGCCAGGGTTGCCAGACGTCGCACTTTAGGCGTAATTGTCCCGCTTTTTAACTTGCTGGCACGCGTTACGCCAAAGTACAAAAATGCTCCGCATTTTACCTTATTGCTACGTTTTTTAAATTCAAAGTTATATACAGTATGGTTCAAATGAAAGGAATAAATTCATTATAATGGAAGTAGTTGGTTTTTCGAAAAAATGCTCGGACAGGTCAATTTTGTTTACTTAAAGCGCAATTTTTAAAATAAAATTTAATTTTCCCCCACTTCCCATTTTTGGGCAGTGACGTCATTGACAATTTTTTTAAATAGCAACCCCAATTTTTTTTTCTTGATTTTGATAGATCTTGAAATTTCATACTCGGAAACATAATATTTGAAATATCTGACATAACAATTTAAAAAAAAAAAAAAGTCATTAAAGATCAGATACATAAATTTTATGTTATTTTGAAACACAATAAATTAATAAAAGATAATTATTTGTAATTAAGTGCTTAATCTAAAAAAAAAAAAAAAAAAATAATAATAATAATAAAAAGAATTTAATGACAATTTCACAAATTCTTTTTATTATTATTATTTTTATTATTATTTTGTTAGATTAGGCATTTAATTACAAATAATTATCTTTTATTCATTTATTGTGTTCTCAAAATAAAATAAAATTTGTGTGTCTAATCTTTAAATGTCTTTCTTCTATTCAAAAAAAATTGTTATGTAAGATATTTCAAATATTATGTTTCCGAGTAGGAAATTGCAAGATCTATCAAAATCAAGAAAAAAAATTGAGGTTACCATTTAAAAAATTGTCAATGACATCACTGCCCAAAAATGGGAAGTGGGGGAAAATTGAATTCTATTTAAAAAATTGCGCTTTGAGTAAACAAAATTGACCTGTCCGAGCATTTTTTCGAAAAACCAGCTACTTCCATTATAATGAATTTATTCCTTTCATTTGAACCATACTGTATAATGATATTTTTGACAATGTTTGACCTGTTTTTGAGAAGCTCAGAAAAAGGAATCTGATGGTTTAAATAAATATAAGCGGAGGACCTTTTTTTAGATCTCTACAAAAAAAGGAGCTTATTTTATAAAAATACCTGTTTTTTTAACCTGATACCCTATCGTCACCATTGTCCCACTTTTCCCTTTCGTAAATCTTTCTTTCCATTTTACAAATAACACAACCAAACAATGATTTAATAATTAAAAAGTAAAAGTTTTACATTTGTCATTTCATACCTGTGATGACCACGTTTTTACTTGACTATTTCAAGACAATATTCAATATGACGTCATTGTTTTTGATTTATATCAGTGTAGTCAATCATATTCAAGACATAGTATCTGATTTAAAATCGCCTTATGGTTTTAAAACAATACATATTAATTCTAACAGTCAAATGAGGCAACACAACTTACAATGTCTTAATATGACATGTTGCATTGCTATTTTTTTGTATTAAATTACATTCCAATATTCAAATAAAACTTTCAATCCTTCACTTCATATGTGTACTGAATGTTTAGTTATTATGTAATTTGTTTAAAAAATAGTACATTTTCGTGTGGGTCTAGATTAAATTTGTTCTATTTTTTTTAGGTTCTAAAAGTGGAGACTACTATGATGACATGAATCATTCAAACTTTATGAAGTGGGTTCAGGAACAACTAATGCCCAATATGCCTGAGAAATCAGTTCTGGTTGTAGATTATACTTTTACCACAACGTGAAAACTGAAAAAAGTATTAGTTCAGCATCTAGGAAAGCAGAAATGTTAGAATGGCTTAGGGCCCACAAAGTTGACCAATAAAACAAAACCCGAAAAAATCGGTTAGGTATTCCTGCTTCCTATAAATTGGACTGTTTACTGATAAAACATGGGCATAAAGTCTTATGGTTACCACCTTATCATCCAGAATTCAACCCAATAGAAAAAATCTGGGCATTGGTTAAGAACTAGGTGGCAGTGCACAATACTACATTTAAACTGAATGATGTGGAGAAATTAGCTAGGAAGAAATTTTCTGAAGTTCCTGATCAAGAATGGTGTTCTATTTGCGAACATGTAAAGAAATATGAATCTGAATGGATTAAAAAAGAACACATTCTGCATAATGCTGTAGATTCTCTTGTGTTTACTGTAAATACAGGATCGTCTAATGAATCTACTTCAGAGGATGATTGCAGCAGCGACAGCAGTAGGAGTATTATAGAATTGCTTAGTGACTCTGGAAGCATTTAATAACACAGGCCAACAAGAAAAAAAAATTCCGGCATATCTACCTAGATTCTAGGCAAACATATTTCAAATTTTGTGATATGGCTCAAATTGATGACTTTAAAATCGATATATCACTAATCATATCATAATATACTTTTCCAATAACTAGTAACTAACATCTAAAATTTCATCAATTTGTTTAACTATAAATGGGATTAAACAAGTTTGAATTTTTGAAGTAAGAGTAAAAAGTATAAAATTTTGTAAAATATTTCACACATGTGCAACTAGCAGTCAATTGAATAAGAAATACACCAAACATTTATTATCACTAACCTATTTGGTATTCATTGTTCTTACATTTACTACTATTGTATGCTGCAGATTTCATTAAAGTTTTTAGATGTAAAATGTTTTAAAAATTTATATATTTTTCCTTGCTTTTCAAAATTTAAAACTTAATTCTAAAATTGCATATTATGCCATATTATGGCATTTGAGTTCCAACTTTTCAATGATTTTTGCCAGTAATATGAGTAAACCATTTAATAATCAATATGTTACCAATATTTTTCAAGCATTCCTAAATTAAAATAAACAATTTTATAAGTTCCTATTTTGTGTTTTTTACCCTTTTTCATTACCTAAACGATATATTTAGGGCTTGAAGTAATAGGCTATTGTGTCCTAAGAGGTCAATATTTCGGCTAGTCCATTTTTATTAAAAAAAAAAAAAAATGTTTATAACCCAAGATTTTAAAGGAAATTAAATATACTTCTTGATGTATGAAGCAATGCCTGCACCTACCTCTACTCAGAAAGCAATTATAAGCAAAAAAGTAAAAAAAAATACGAATTTTTTGCGTTTTAAATTAATTTTTTATAATTTTTACATAAAAAAAAAAATAAATAAATAATTTGGTGTGAAATAATCGTATTTACAAAAAAAAAAACTGCATGAATTTTGCTTCACTCAGAAAGCAATTGTACGCAAAAAAGTAAAATATGCTATTTAATTCTTTTTTCTTATAATTTTTCCATAAAAAAATTTAAATAAATAATTCGATGTGAAATCGCATTTACAAAAAATTTCTTATTAACTCTACCTGAATTTTCTTTCGTTTCCGAGATATAATTAAAAAACTCTTAGGGTTGCATTTTCACCCCTATCTCCAATTTCCACCCGCTAATTCAATAATATATTTATTGACCATTTGAATAATTTATGATATAAAAACCCACAAAAGTGATTATTCCTTTCTATATTACATATTCCATAGTCTATAAGGGATTGCAAATTGCATTTTTTTTTCAACATTTCTTGCATAAAAACTGGTGAAAATAACAACACCATTTCCATATTTATATTTATTTAAAAATTAAATTTGAAAAGGTTATGCTACTGATTTGAAGTCAAACATCAAAGTTATAATATGGCGCTTATTATGACGACACGTTCGTGTATACGACTGCAACTTCAGGTGGGTTCTTCTTTCGTGAAACGGATTCTAGTTAAAACTTCAAATGTGGTTAGGTTTGTGTTGTGGCTAGGTTTCGGGCGTTGTGTTTAACTTGAATTTATCTTCAATTATCATATAATTTATCATATATACTATATACAGATTCGTCTTAAATTTTTCATGGGTATAGCACAAAACTATAAAGAGCAACAGACTGAAGACTATTCATATGAAGCGAGAAAGCAGAAGTAGGGCGTTGGCTGACCAATCTCATCCGCTGACTTCAACATCTAAACCAAACAAATTTAGCCTAGACCAGACCGAGTCCTTAGCGCGTGAAGGTAAAACAATAGGTTCTGGTTTTTGTTTTAAAATAATTAGATATTAATATGCCGAACGTTATTTATATCACTCGTGAAAAAATACAAATAGTGAAGTGGTATAGCAGGGACAGAAGTTGGAAA